GGCCTAGGGGCAAGAAGCTGTACTGCAGTCCCAAAGGTTGTTGTTGTTATGTGCCATCAAGTTGTTTGTGACTCATAGCGACCCTATGTACAACAGCCCTAAACCGTGCTCTAGCCTGTGCCAATCTCATTGCCTCTGACACACCCATCCCGATTACCCCAGTCACTGAATCAATCCACCTCATAGAGGGTCTTCCCCTCCTGCGCTGTCCCTCTATTCTACCCAGCATGATGTCCCTCTCCAAAGACCTCTCCAAAGTATGTCAGACGAAGCCACCAGATGCCCTGCCGGAGAAGGAGGGATAATTTCCTCCTGTACCAGTCAGATCTGATTTGATGGTACATGCACAAAAAAAATAATAAAAATTTTTTTAAAAAGTTAAAAAAAACACATGGGGGTGACGGAAATGGGAAGAACTTGGTCTGAAAAACAATGTATTAGAATTTTGTAAATAAACTAGTATTTTCTGAAAAAAAACCAAAACAAAACAAAAACCAACCAAAAAACCCAAAACCTACCAAACCTTCTACACAGTGGTAATAACCAAAACAGCATGGTACTGGTACAATTACAGGCACATAGACCAATGGAAGAGAAGTAAGAACCCAGAAATAGACCCAGCTGTCTATGGTCCACTGATACTCGACAAAGAAATAAAATGGGGAAATGACAACCTCTTCAACAAATGGTGCTGGCAAAACTGAACTGCCACCTGCAGAAAGCTAAAACAGGATTCCCATCTCTCACCATACACAAAAAATTACCTCAAGGTAGATCATTCAGAGACTTGGGAGTAAAGCCCAAAACCATAAGTTCATAAGACAAACTGGGCTCAAGCTTAGAAGGCCTATTCTACAGTATAAAGATACTGCCAAATACAGGCAGAAATGTACAATCTGAAGAGGATAAAATTGATGAATGACCTTCTAAAGATTAAATCCCTGTGTGCATAATTTTTTTCCCAACAGGGTGAAAAGAAAACTTACTGACTGGGAACAAGCATTTGGCAATGCCATCTCAGACAAGAGTCTCATAACGAAAGTTTATTGAATACTCTTGGGCCTCCACAAGAAAAAGACTGATAACCCAATTACAAAATGGGCAAAAGATGTGGAAAGACTTTACACAGAGGAAGATAATTCAAATGGCAAACAGACACATGAAGAGATGTTCCAAATCACTGGCAATAAGAGAGATGCAAATCAAAACCACAATGAGATACCACCTCACTCCAGTAACAGTGGCAACGTTTAACAGAACAGCAAGTAATAAATATTGGAGAGGATGTGGTGAGATAGGAGCTGTTATACACTATTGGTGGGATTGTAAAATGGTACAACCACTCTGGAAGGCAGTTTTGTGTTTCCTCAAAAAAGCTGAACACAGAATTTCTGTATGACCCAGTTATTCCATTGCTTGGAATAAATATATCCCAAGAAAAGAGAACTGAGGCTCAAACGAAGACTTATACACCAGTGTTCATAGCAGCAGCATTCTCCATTGCAAGAACATGGAAATAGCCCAGATGTCCAACTACAAAAGACTGGCTTGAGAAGTGATGGTATATTCATACAATGGAATACTACACATCACACAGGAGCAATGATTTTGTAAGTTACTACCTAACCTGGGAGAGACTGGAGAGCATTATGTTGAACAAACTAATTCAGTCCCACAAGGACAAATACTGTATAAAACCATTATTGTAGAATGAGTGTGAGAATCCAAGTTGGGGGGCAGGGTGGAAGCAGAGGGTGAGGAAGGGTGGAGCGGAGGTGTTGATTATAGGGTTGCACAATTCAATTTGATGGAGGGGTAAAGGAAATGGGAAGGATATTTTGTAAATAAATCAGTATTTTTTTAAAATCAGTATTTTTTTAAAAAAATCTGTGCTGCTGTTGTTGAGTTTCATTGAGTTGAAACCAACCCATAGCTGACCCTCCAGTGAGTTTTCAGAGGCAGTTAATCACATGAGAGGAGATTACCCATGCTTCTCCCACCGCAACTGGTAGATTCGAACAGCATGCCTTTGGGATTACAGCTCAGCTTCTTACCACTAGGCCTCCAGAGCTCCCTATTGATACATGTGTGTGTGTATATGTATATATATACATATACACACATATATACATATGTCTATTTACACACACACACACACACACACACACACACACACACACACACCTGTAAAAAAGAGCTCTGGTGGCCTAGAGACAAGAGGCTGTGCACAATCCTGAAGGTACACGGTTCAAGGCCACCAACTGCTCTAAGGCTGAAGGATGGGCAGTCTCCTCGTATGCAATTAACTGTCTCTGAAAACCTGCTAGAGGATCAGCTATGGGTCAATTCTGACTCAATGGTACACAACAACAACAACAACATGTACCTATACACATAGCTACCTGTTTAGAGAGGTCCCTAACAGCAGAATTTCCCGTCACAATAAGTCTTTTAATTTCCTGGCTGCTGGTGCCAAGAATGTTGATTGTGGAGCCGAGCAAACTAAACTGTGAACAATCTCAATCTCTTCACCATCCATCCTGATGCTGCCAATTGGTCCAGTGATGAGAATCTTTGTCTTCTTGACATTGAGCCTCAATCCATATTGAAGGCTGCAGTCCTTGACCCTATGCAGCAAGCATTTCAGGTCCTCCTCAGTTTTAACAAGCAGGGTTGTGTCATCTGCCTAACACAGATTGTTGATAGATCTTCCACCAATCCTGATGCCACATTTCTCCTCATAGAGCCCAGCCTCCCGGATGATCTGTTCTGCATACAGGTTGAAAAGGTATGGAGATAGGACACATCCCTGGCGTACGCCCTTCCCAATTTTGAACCATGCAGTGTTTCCTTGCTCTGTTCTGACAACAGTCTCTTGGTTCAAGTATAAGTTTCACATTAGCACGATCAAGTGTTCTGGGATTCCCATTCTTCTCAGAGTCAGCCACAGTTTGTTATGGTCCACACAGTCAAACGCCTTTCCATAATCAATGAAGCACAGATATACATTCCTCTGGTATTCCCTGCTTTTGGCCAAGATCCATCTAACATTAGCTACAATATTCCCTAATACCACGACCCCTTCTAAACCCAGCCTGGCCTTCTGGCAGTTCTCTGCTGATGTGCTGTTCCAGTCGTTTTTGGATAATCTTCAGCAGAATCTTGCTTGCATGTGAAATCAACAATATTGTTCTATAGTTTCCACACTCTGTTGGGTCACCTTTCTTTGGAATGGGAACAAATATAGATCTCTTCCAGTCAGTTGGCCAGGTGGTTGTTCTCCAGATTTCATGACACAACTTCGTGAGCACGTCCAGGGCAGCATCTGTTAGGTGAAATATGTCAATTGGTATACCATCTATTCCTGGGGCTTATCTACCTACGTCTTTATTTCTATATTTACCTGTATATCTATAACTGTATCTTTATATACTTGTGCCTGTATTTACCTGTATATCTGTAACTGTATTTTTATCTGTATATTTATGTGTGTATTAACTGTATCTTTATCTATATACTTATATATATGTCTACCTGTACATCTGTAACTGTATCTCTATGTACCTATATCTATCTTTGTATCTGTAACTGTATCTCTATGTACTTATATCTATTATCTCCCTGTATATCTGTAATTATATCTGTGTATTTATATCTCCCTGTATATCTGTAACTGTATCTCTATGTTCTTATACCTCCCTGTATGTCTGTAACTGTATCTCTATCTATGTACTTATATCTCCCTGTGTACATAACTGTATCTCCATGTACTTACATCTATATCTCTCTGTATATCTGGAACTATATCGCTCAAGGAACTGCAACTACAATCCCAGAGGTGCACGGTTCGAATCCACCAGATGCTCTGCCGGGTAAGGAGGGCCAATCTCCTCCTGTACCAGTCAGATCTGATTTGATGGTACATGCACACAAAAACAATAAAATAAAATTTAAAAAAATTAATTAAAAAATGGAACTATATCACTATGTACTTATATCTATATCTCCCTGTATATCTGTAACTGTATCTTTATCTATGTACTTATTTCTGTATGGTGTACCCATTGTCATTGATTGAACTCTGACTCACAGCAGCTTGTAGGACAGAGGAGAGCAGCCCATGATGTCTCTGAGCCTGTACATCTTTGTGGAAGGGAAGTGAGTGCCTTAGCTTCCTCCTGTGGAGCAGCTGGTGGGTTTGAACCACCAGCCTTTGTTCTACCAGCTGAATGCTTAGCCGCTACTATGAGTGGATTCTGACTTACAGTGGCTTTGAAGAACAGACAAGAACTGCTCATGGGCTTCCCAAGGCTCTGCATCTTCACAGATGCGGCTTCAGGCAACCCTTCTTGTTCCACAGCTCAGAGATCCTCGCGACTCCCCAGGCCCACCCCCACACCTTCTTGCTGCATGTGTGCGCACACAGATGAACCATGTCTGTGTTTCAGTGCTAAGATAATGCCTGGTGCCCACCCCATTGTCCCACTCCCAGGAGAACACCATGGGGACACGGTATATGCTGGAGCTCTTGTGTGAGACCACAGGACTGTGAGAATGAGGGGGCAACAGGAATGGAGACACTAATAGGTTAGCTGTAGCCCCCTACTGACACGCTGACCACTGGCCACTCTGCACTCCTAGAGGCCAGGACCTTGTATCTCTCGGGGCAGAAGGTGAAGAGCCCCAGTCTTCTGACTGCTGGGTGAAGTGTGGGGCGTGGCGTTGTCCTTCCTGAGCAGCATCTGGGGTCTCTTTGAGGGGATACCTGGCCTTCATCCAGCAGGGCGGAGGCATTGGAGGAGGAGCCCCTGTGCAAACCTGAGACTCTCAAGCTGACAGGGGGCATGGCCTGGCAGGCGGGAGTCTGAATGTACCCAGAATATGCTGACAGGGGTCACACACGCATCCTGTGCATCCCAAAGCCGAGGAACCCTTTCTCTCCCGGAGTTTGATATGTGGCAGCCACGTCCATCTAACACTGACCTCTCATGTCATTACAGGTATCGACTACAGGACGACCACCATCCTGCTGGATGGCCGGCGTGTGAAGCTGCAGCTCTGGTAAGAACGGGCTTCCTGGTTCACTCAGAGTCACCCACTACCTGCAGGACCTCAGTGGTATCCCCCTGCAAGCAGCTCCACATGCCCCCTCTCCACTGGTCTCCTCAATCCCTACTCCCAGTGTGTCCATCCACCAGCTGGTCCACTAGGAGGCGCTCGTGAGGAGTCTGGTTCTGCTCTCTGCTGTGTCCTGGGAGGCGCCTGGACCATGCTGGACACTGGAGCCAAGTAAGTGACCCCAGACATGCTCCCTGTTCATTGCAGTCAGGTGAGCACTCTGAGCCCATGATTGCACACACATGTGCATATGCTTATATGCACACGCGACTCACATGTACCTGCACACGCATGGGCACATTGATGCAAGCTTACTCACAGGTGCATGCATTTGTACTTATGTGAACACGTACTGTCAGCACACATGCCCCCAACACACATATGTGCATGGGCATACCACAAGACACATACGTCTGCAAGTGTTTATTTTAATATACGTACACACTATAAACTATATTGTTGTTACTATGCCGTTGAGTCAGAACCGACTCATGGCTGACCCTCCAGTGGATTTTCAGAGGCAATTAATTGCATGAAAGGAGACTGCTCATCTTTCTCCCATGGAACAGCTGATGGATTTGAACTGCATGCCTTCAGGATTGTAATGCAGTTTCTTACTACTAGACCACCAGAGGTCCCTAAGACATATATGTATATGTGTGCACTTATGCATGCTCATATGCATGCGAGTGTGTACATTTTGTAAGACATGCAAAGGTGCACATGCAGTGTGTGCTCACATGCACACACGTGCTGTGACTACCTGCACAGGTGCACACAGTTGTGGGCTCACGTGCACACACGTGCTGTGACTACCTGCACAGGTGCACATGCAGTTGTGAGCTCACAAGCACACACACACACATACACACACACAGTGCTTACCTGAACAGGTGCACACTGCCACTCCTTCACCCTCTCACTGACCTGAGAGAAGTCAGCAAGCTGTCTTGTCTGGATGCTGCTTTCACTCCCTCTCCTGACCCATAAGCAATGATCTCTTGTATGTGGACAAACTCTAGACCTGGAGGTTCCACTGAGGATGGGCTGGGGACTCTACGGGCCCAATATCTCGCCCAGTAAGCAAGGCTGTTATGTCCTTGGGTAGGCTGAAGCATGGGCACACATGGGACACAGAGGTGGTCTCGTCACCAGCCACAGTAACAAGGAAAAGACTTAGCAGAGCCATGCTGTACCTCGCTCTCACCTGTAGGAGACCCCTGGAACAGCACCTGGTCCCCCAAGGACAGTGGATGACTGCCTTGCCTGGACCCAGGCTCCTGAGTGCCGAGCAGCTGGGGGGAGCTGATGCCTTGTTGATGGGCTTCAATGTCTTTTCCAGGGACACGTCGGGACAGGGAAGATTCTGTACCATATTCCGCTCCTACTCGCGGGGTGCACAGGTAACTGAATAAATAGCACTGGCAGTGCACAGCGACCCTCCCCGAGGGAGCCAGAGGGTGAGGCCATGTGAGCAGGCCTGTCAAATGACGTCCAGGCTGGGAATGTGTTGGCTCCCAGCTCTTCTCAGGCTCAGGGATGTGGGTGTGTGCTCACATGTGCAGATGCATGCACACATGTGGGATTGTATGCACATGTCAAAGCATGGCTTTCGTCTCTGCACATGTGTGGATGTCCCCGCATGCCTGCCCACACGTAGTGTGCATGTTTACATGTGCGTGCCCGTCTAGCTGTGCTCACTCATGTACATAGCATGTGGCACCCTTCATGTGCACTGGGAGTGTGTGTGTAACACTCCCTTCACTCTTGTGCAGGGCTCACGTCCCAGAACAACTGAAGGAGTGGGCATGGAAGGTGCCCCTCAGTGTAAAGTTTGGGGTTCATCAGTGCATTTATGAGCATCACTGGACATGTTCATACTCATACAAAGAACGAGAAATGATGTCTTTGGTGCCATAGTGAGCGTGGCTGTGGGGCTGTGGTGTCTGATTGCAGTGGGCAGGGGCCTCCAGCAGTCATGTCCACGTTCGTGGCCTCCTCTTCCTAGGGTGTGATCCTGGTCTACGACATCACAAACCGCTGGTCATTCGATGGAATCAATCGGTGGATCAAGGAGATTGACGAGGTTCGGCCTGTGACACTGTTGCCGAGTTCTGTGTGTCCCCACGGTTTGGCTGCTGGCTCCCTGCTCTGACTGGAGGGTGGCTGGAGGGTGTCTGGGCAGTGCGTGGCCTGTCAGGTATGAGCAGGCATGCCAGCCCCACAGTAATCCACCCCTTGCCTTCCTCTTGCCCCCAGCATGCCCCTGGTGTCCCCAGGATCCTGGTGGGAAACAGGCTGCACTTGGCCTTCAAGCGGCAGGTACCCACTGAGCAAGCCCGGGCCTACGCAGAGCGCCTGGGTGTGACCTTCTTTGAGGTCAGCCCCTTGTGCAACTTCAATGTCACAGAGTCCTTCACGGAGCTGGCCAGGATCGTGCTGCTACGGCATGGGATGGACCGGCTCTGGAGACCCAGCAAGGGTGGGCTTGTGGGAAGCAGGGACAGGGGGTGTTAAGGGGGCTGAAGTGACAGAAGGGCACATGAGGGGCTGGTGGCTGAGCAGGTGAACTTAGGGGGTTATGCAAGGGAGGAGCAGGAGGAGTGGGAACCGGGCAAGTGAACTGAGAAGGCTGAGCAGAGAGTGACACGTGGAGGGCGGGGTTGGCGAGGGAGCCAGGCAGGTGAGCTGAGCGCTGGGGTGGGGGGCGGGCAGGCGGGCTGAGGGTGTTTGGGAGGTGGGCTGAGGGCTTGGGTGTGACAGCTAGGTGGGGTGAGCGTTCAGGTGCTGGGCAGGTGGGCGGAGGGGGGGTCGAGCAGGTGGGCTGAGAGGCAGCGTGCAGGTGGGCTAAGGGCAGGGGGTGCAGGCAGCTGGGCTGAAGGCTGTGGGGGGAAGCACAGTGGTTCTGTGGAGCCAGATGTTGGCATGGGCACTGTCCACCTCTAAAACCCACCAGGGGCCCACTGCCCATGGCTGCTGTGAGGGCCCTCACAAGAAAGGCAGAAGTCTGCACAGGAGACAGCAGGCAACCTCACAGTTTGGGATGGGTTGCCAAGTTGCCGATGGCAGCCCAGGTACTGTTTGAGGTGTTTAGGGTTGTTGTCTAGGGTATGTGGAAGTGCTGTCTCAGGTGTTTGGAGTACTTCCTGAGGTGTTTAGGGGTGCTATCTTAGATATTGGGGTGCTTTCTGAGGTGTTTTGGGAGCTGTCTGGTATATTTATGGGTGCTGTTTGAGGTGGTTTGGAGGCATTGTCAGGGATATTGAAGTATTGAGGTATTTAGGGGTGTTATGAGGGGTGTAGTTTAGGGTAGTGTCTGGTGTATTTAAGGGTGCTTTCTGAGGTGTTTAGGGATGTTGTCTGGGGTGTTAATGCTGTTTGCATGGTATCTGATGTATTGAGGCATACTGTCTGAGGTCATTAGGGGTGTTGTCTAGGTTTTGAGGGGTGTTTTCTGAGTATTTTGGGGTGAGCTATTGTCCCTCACCTGTGTAGGATGGGTGTGGAGCTGGGTGCTCACCCAGAGTCAGGAACTCAGGAAAAGCATAGTGCACAGAATGGGAGCCCCAGGCACTTGGTGTCAGCTGTGTGCGAGGACACTGCAGAGTATGTGTGCAAAGCCCTGGTCTCCTGGGGTGAGGGTGGCACTGCTGTGAGGGGCCTTGGTGACAGAGAAGCAGGGCCCAGGTGGGGCCTAGGGCCCAGGCGGTGTGGACAGCAGGAGCTGACTGTCTGTCCTCCTCCAGTGCCCAGTCTGCAGGAGCTGTGCTGCCGAGCTGTGGTGTCCTGCACACCTGTGCACCTCGTGGACAAGCTCCCACTGCCTGTCGCCTTACGAAGCCACCTCAAATCCTTCTCCATGGCAAACGGCCTCAACGCCCGCATGATGCACGGCCGCTCCTACTCGCTCACTGCCTCCTCACACCGGCGGGGGCTGCGCAAGGCCAGGCCTGCCCGCCCCCGAAGCCCTGCCAAGCGTGGCAGGAGCAGCTGCAAGGTCTCCTAGGTGCAGGTGGGCACCCTGGGCGATGTGCCTGTGGGGATCGCTGCAGTGAGGCTGCAGCTGTCACACGCCCGCTCTGCATGATGCTGTCAGGACGTGTGCTCTGAAGGGGATGTGGCACTGTCTGGTCCCGGCAGCACGTTTTGAATGTTCTCCTTTCACAGCTGCAGCAGAGTTCTCATCAGAATAACTGGTTTTATAATAATGGTGAGATGAGGGCGCTGAGGGGCTTCTGAAGCAGTGTTGGCAAGATGAGTCGGGGCTACGGACGCTGCTGGAGGGGCCCCTTCTAAATCTCCTTTCTGATGTCTGGACGCAGTTCCTGACAGTGACAGGTGCCGAGGTCCCTGTAAGGGTACAGGGGTGCCGGTGATAGGTGTGGAGGTACCTGTGATGGATACAGAGATTCTGTGCAGCTGACCGATCCTGCGTGTGTAAGAAATGGACTCGATAAAGCTTTTGCTATGCTGTTTACTACATTTTGGGATTAATAAGTGGTTTATATGCTTATTTTTCTGTAAATCTATGGGGTTTTGTACAAGATGTTCTACAAGTCATGAAAGTAAATGAAGAAGATAGCTCAAGTTCTGAGAATACTGTCACCATGTTTGCAACAGCTCTGCCTGGGAAATGCCATCCAGGGTTGTCAGGTGAGGTGTGCAGTGAGCATTAAATATTGAAGAACACAGGCCTCAAAAATAAAATGTTTATGGCTTCCCTCGTGGTCCTTTCCGACTGTGTTTGTATGTTGTTAGACGCACCTCCAAATGTGTCCACACAATCCTGTGTATTTGAGCCCATTATTGGAGAGATCAGCCCACCTCAGGGAGTGTCTTCCTCTTTTCACTGACCCTCACTTCACCAAGCACAGTGTTCTCATCAGAGCCTGCCCCACCAACATGCCCAAGGTAGAAGAGATGAAAGAATATTTTGGGTGTACTAAGACAAATATTGATTGAGGCTCAATGTTAAGAAGACAAAGATTCTCACCACTGGACCAATTGGCAGCATCAGGATGGATGGTGAAGAGATTGAGATTGTACACAGCTTTAGCTTGCTTGGCTCCACAGTCAACAGTCTTGGTATCAGCAGCCAGGAAATTAAAAGGCGCATTGCCATGGGAAAGTCTGCTGTTAGGGACCTCTCCAAAGTACTGAAGAGAAATGGCGTCTCTCTGGAGACTAAGGTGTGTCTGATACAGGCCATGGTCTTCGCAATCACTTGTTATGCATCAGAGAGCTGGACAATGACTAGGGAGGATAGAAGGAGAATTGATGCCTTTGAGCTGTGGTGCTGGAGAAGAGTATTGAGAATACCATGGACTGCTAGGAAAACAAACAGATTTGTCCTGGAAAGGGTTAAACCGGGTGGCTCCTTGGAGGCAAGGATTCTGAGGCTCCGTCTAACATACTTTGGACATGTTGTGAGGAGAGACCGGTCCTTGGAGAAGGACATCATGCTTGGGAGGGTGGAAGGACAGCGCAGGAAGGGAAGGCCCTCTATGAGGTGGATTGATTCAGTGACTGGGATAATCAGGATGGGAGTGTCGGAGACAGTGCAATTGGCACAGGACAGAGAGTTTAAGGCTGTTGTACATAGGGTCGCTATGAGTCACAAGCGACTTGACGGCACATAACAACAACAAGACAAATCTGTTCATTTTTTGGCACTTTGTGGTCTTCATTCTTCATTAACACCACAGTTCAACAGCATCATTTCTTTGATCTTCCTTACTCAGTGTTCACATGCATATTGAGTGGCACCGTAGTCCTCAAAGTTACACCTTTGCTTCTGAACATTTCAAAGGAAGACTTAAAGCACTTGCCTACAGACAGCAACAGTGACAGCCTTTAAATAGGGGTTACACTCTAACATCAAGAAAACGAAATCTTCACCACTGGACCAATATGCTGTCATCATGAGAGATGGAGGAAAGATTGAAGTTGTCAGTTACTTCCTTTTGCAAGGGTCCACAGCAGCCAAGAAGCTAAAAGGTGTGTTGGACTTGGGAAATCTGCTGTCAAGGTTCTACCCAAGGTTCTAAAGAGCAAGTGTGTAATTTTAAAGACCAGATGTGCCTGATACAAGCACTTTTCAATTGCTTCCTGTGCACCTGAAAGTTAGACAATGAGGAAGACAGAAGGAGAATGCATGTTTTGAGCCATGGTGTCGATGGAGAGTGTTGAACGGCCACCAAACCCAAACACATCTTGGCGGAAGAGCAACCAGGTGCTGCTTAGAGGCAAAGTTGGTGACACATCACGCCATGTGCTCCAGACGTGTTGTGAGAAGTCCAGTCTTCTTACAGAAAAAAAAAAGCCTCATGTTGGGAAAAGTAGTGGTCAGTGTGAGGGAGGAAGAGCCTTGGAGACGGACGAGCACCGTGTGAGCCTGTCCACGGGGGAGAACACGGGCTGGCACAGTGAGGGTGAGCTTTCCATGTCTGATTCACAGGGCTCTCTGGGTCAGCACTGACTCCTGCATCCAACAACATCTCTATGGTTGTGTGACTGCCAGAACCAAGTTCCATAAATTGGGTGGCTTATGAGAACAGGGAGCTCTCATGGCCTACTGGAAAGAAGCTACATTGCAATCCCAAAGGCACGCGGTTCAAATCCACCAGATGCTCCAGGGTAGAAAGATGGGTAATCTCCTGCCATATGACTTACTGCCCATGAAAGCCTGCTGGAAGGTGAGCTGTGGGTTGTCTCTGCCCGGATGGCACACAACACAAAAACAGAGCTTTGTTCACCCTCAGTTCTGGAGGCTGAGTCAGAAAGGAGTGTGGCACACACATTCCATACTTCTCTCCTTGGCCCTGGTGACACCCCATGATGGTGGCTCCTGGGCTGTTGACATGGCTCTCCATATGTTCCTCCTCCTTGGGGTGGCATCTTCCTTGAGTCTCTTTTAATGAGGACACCAGGTAGGTGGGACCTCAAGTTAACTGATAACAGCTTCATCCCATTTTCCAATGTAGTCATTTGTGGTCACAAGAGCTAGGGGTAGGGTTCCAGTAGCACCTCCAGGGAACTCAAACTGGCCGTGATGCAGCCTTCAATTCTAGTCACTTCATCCATCCCAGACTTCATGAGAAGGTCTGTTTAAAATATGGACAATAGAATTTGGTTCCTGACCAGTGTCATCTAGTGACAAAGACATCTTTTTCTGAGAACAGAGGAGAGAGGGAAATATGGAAGAAAGGTCTGTCTGGTGAGATTTCAATGCTGACAGATGTGCGGTCCTCTTCAGAAGGGGATGTCCTGTCCCTCACTGTACTGGGGGATCTCGGCTGCTCCTCTGAAGGGTACATCCTTTCACTGGCTGTGATAGGGAATGGTACCAGCTGGGCGCCCTTTGGGAGGGTGGTCCTGTCACTGGCTGGACTGGGGACAGTGCTGTCTACAAGGGCTCTCTCCCTGGCCACCACTTCCTACTTTCCTGAGGTGGCAGCTGGAAGAAGAATGTAGCAGTTGCCTTAGGCCTGATCATTTCTTGAGATACCTGCTAACACCTAACATCAAAGACCAGACCAGACAGTGAATCCTGATAAGGCTCTGGGCCTGATCACAAAAGCCCAAACCCAAGTTAATAAACAGCCCCAAATCCCTGAGCATCTTCCCTAACCCTCCCTAAAACCCCTATAAAAAGAAAGCCCCTTGACTGCCCTGGGGCCACTTTGGCCTCCCTCTTGGCTATCCCTCTCAATAAAGGCCTGTTCATTTTCTTGGGACCAGCTTCTTTCTTTCTATCTCTTGCCCTCAACTCCTTTTTTCTATCTAACAGCATGAGGGATGCAAAATCAAACAGCTAGAAATGCAAACATTCCCAGTGACCTCATTACTGCTAACAACATGGAGTTTTAAAAACCAAGGGGCCTGGGTAGAACCTTTCTCTCAGATGAGACACCAAGGCCCATGAGTGGGGTGGCTGGGCCCCGATGAGGGGGTGACCAGGCCATGGCATGTTGGGACGGCCGGTTGACAGGGCAATGTAGAGTGGGAACCTCTCCGGGAGGCCATGCCCCACAAGCTTTGGGGACTATGCATCCCAACTGCCCTGCTGTATGGCACAAGGTGCAGGCTGGGCCACTGACCTCACACCCAGGACAGCCTGACCACTTGGGGCTGGAGGACTCACACGGTCTTCCTGGTGCTCACTTACCTACCCGTGGTCAAGGGCTTCGGGTGTTTTCACATTGTCACAGATTCTGCTTCTAGGTATGATGGCCTGTCACTCTCCCATGCCCACACCACATCCTACAGAATCAAAGTCTCAAAACTGCACTGCTAACTGGAAGTGTGGGTGTCTGAGAGCCCAGGCTCCCCGTGAGAAACACAGGCGGTCTCCTCACAAAGACCAGATGCAGGACCACGCTGACACCGGGCTGACTGGATGCTAGGGCTAGGAGAGACAGGGACAGCCCTCAGGGACAGCCTGACTGTGTTTGTCCTCACTTCCTGGTCTGCTGTGTATAGCATCACATGGTCACAGCATGACTCCATGTGGGAACAGGGTCTTTGACGATGTTCTCAATGTTCTCGCTAACGGGAGGTCATACAGGGCAAAAATCAGGAAGCTGACCCACGGCCACCGAGTCGATTCTGACCTCCCCTCGATGGCCGAGGCTGTAAGCCTTTACAGAAGGGGACACCCATCTTCCACCTGAGCAGTGGCTGGTAGATTTAAACCAATGGCCTTTGGGTTAGCAGCTTGAACTCACTGCACCACCAGGGCTCCTCTGAGTGGCATCTTCTCAAAGCACTGAAACGGGGACAGACTTGGAGGGAAGAGGTTGTGGAGCGGTCATGTGGACACACCCAAGGAATGCCTGGATCACGAGGAGGCTGGGGTCCTGAGGAAGGCTCTGCTCTGAATGGGGGTGGCCCTGCGGACACTCCCAGCCACAGTCACTGAGACAAGAAATCCCATTACACACTCTGTCACTGCCGGACACACACGGAGGGATGCAGGAACAGAGTGGATACCAGCTGGAGGCAGCA